GAGTTCCAACCGGAGAGAATGATCAAACTCTGAGCGGTTCTCTTATATGGTCGTTGTCAGTACGCGCTTGTGACAATGTGAACCTGTGGAGATATTTTTCAAGGTAAACCATGATAGGAGTTTGGATTGAAGGAGTTGTGATTGTTTATAAAATATAAACACTGATTAGTAGAATATCTTTTGGATTGAAATCCTTCGAATGTAGATTGGTTGATAATCGAATGGATCAACAAACACCTTGTCTCATGTGTTGTTTTATGTTTTGCTTTGTTATTTGTTGTTAAATCGTTGTTTTAACTATGAACTGTCCGCGCTTCGGGAGTTGGCCCTTTGTTGGTGTTCGAAGGAGAATTGTTCGACCCATCACTTCCCAACAAATATATTTTTTTTTAAGTAACATTAATATGATATATAAATATATCTTTATTCTTTTGTGAATTTTGTAATAGAAGTAATTGAAACTAAGGGTTGGATATCATTTGTTGCAATGGTAGCCCTACACATACATATTCTTTTCTTTTCTAATCCAAATTTAAAAGTCATAACTTCTTATAATCGATATGTATATTGAAAAGTCTAAAAAATCGTGTAAATCTTCTCTTGTATTTTAAAAAATATTGTACAAAAATTTTGTAAATTGTGATGCTCAAATAACATCAGTTTCCACCAAAATATTGGGAGATTCTACAAACAATTTTACCAATCTAAATAAACTAAAATTAAGAATATTCTAAAATATTCATCCCAAATCGACTCAACAAATAATCACCAATTCGTATCGACCATTAGTGAATTTCATCAACTTCAAGTAACTAAAACTTAGAATAATTTTTTTAGGGTTTGTTCACTTTGCACTTAATTTCATTTTTTTTTTTTATCATGTAATTTCTGGGTTCTCAATAAAAATATATGTTACCTCATAAAATACTACTATATTAAAATATTATGTAAATAAAAAATTAAATTCAAAATTCAAAACCAAACACAAAAATGACTAGACCTAGTAATAATGTATGAGCCATGCAAATGGATGAAAACATTTGGAAAAAGTCAAGTCACAACATGAAACATACATACATATTAATAATTTGGTGTAATTTTGATGTTAGTTATTAATAATTGTAAAAATATCTTTAGAAAATTATGATTTTGTTTGGGTAAAATAATTTTGATTAATTTTAAAATATTCTGTGAAAAAATAATATATTTTTATTAGAAATATGAATAAAAAATTATTGTGATTGGTGGAAGAGTTAAAAGAACAAACCCTTATCCATTGTGTTCATTTTTCTATTAAAACAAACATATTTTGTATATAAAAAATAAGCACATTTTAATTGAAAATAGTGAGATTGTATGTAAAAAAAAAATAAAAAATCATAGAGCCACCTTAATTCTTTTAATTTTTTTAATATTTATCTTCCAATGTTTTTGATGCTGATAATTAGTTTCGAATTTTTCGAACCCATCCAAATAAGCTTTCATCTTGGGGTTGATATAAATCTTATTTTTCAAATTTGGTGTACAATTTATTATAGTCATACATATTGTGTATATGTATATATATATATATATTTGACTTAGATATTATTAATTTAATTAAAATTATTAAATGTAGAATCAATGGTTAAAAATAAATTTAGCATATGTTGAATAGTTATAAACATCATCATATGATCTTTAACCTTAGAATAGTAGTATATTTTTATTAATTTTGATATTAAAACATATTTAGAAAAAAATTTGTATAGTTCGTTTATAGGATTTTTACTAAAATTTTACTTTTCATCATTTTTTTTTTAAATATTTAGGGGGTGTATTCAATTGAGATTTTAATGAATTTTTTTAGATTTTAAAAAGTATATGGATTTATGTGGATTTATAAAATTCACAGAGTCTACGTTGAGTTTGATGGATTTTAAGTAATTGATTTAGATGGATTTATACCGATTTGTTTGAATTCTTTATGAATTTATATGGATTTTGTAGGATTGTAAAATAATTTTTTTATGAATATATATTAATTATATAAATTTATATCAAACAACAAATTTTGTAAATATAATAAATAATATTTAATATTAATAAATAATATATAAGTATTAATAATGTAGAAGTATTGTAATATCTGTAATACTACTATATTCTATATTCTAGATTATTAGTTTTAATTTTATAAGTATTATATTATCATGCAAATATATCAAATTAGTTTTATATTTTTTTATTAGTTATTATTATTATTTATATAACTTTTTTACATAAAAAGTAAATATGTATATAAATAAAATAAAAAATATAATTTACAATTTTTGAAAAAAATATTAATATAAATAAATAAATATAAATTAACGGTTCAACAAAAAATATATATTTAAATATCTATTTCATCTTTATATAATATAGTGTATTCGATAATTGAAAAGAAAATACGACAGTAATACATATTTATTGTGATAATAATATTTTTTAAAATTATATTTATAATATAAAAATATATATTTAAAAAAATCATAATAATTTGCTAATATAATTTAGTTTTAAATTATTATTTTTATTAATAATAATAATAATAATAATAAATATTATCATATTATTGATCACATATACAACAATAATAACAATAATAATAATAATAATTTTAAAAATCCATCGAAACCTTTAATGATCATGAGAGATTCTTTCTTATACAAAATTTTCACAATTTTTCATTAAAATCCATTAAAATTCATAGACTTTCAAACTCTATGGATGGTTAAATATCTCAAAATTTTAAAAGATTTTTAAAAATCTATATTAAATACCTCAAGATTTTAAAATTTTTTTAAAAGTCTGGATTGAATATTTCTAGATTATAAAAGACTTTTAAAAGTTTTAGATTAAATACACCCAAATTTTGAAAGTCCAACAAAATTCTACAAAATCTATATTGAATACACCCCCTAAATCAAACATTTATTTTTTTTATATTATATTAAAAATCAAGTTTATATTCAAAACATCACATCAACACCAATTTATATCACATCAATACAATTATTTCAATTCAAAAATTTTACTATTCAAATCTCAAATATAAAATTCAAACCCCCGAACAAACACACCCTATGCTGATTTAGGATGTTTTTATCGAATTCTAATTTTATTTAAAATAATTATATATTTCATGTATATATATTTAATAAGTACTATTTTTCATGATAAAAATAAAATAGTTTTATTTTTTTAAAAAATAAATATTATAGACATGTGTATGTATATATATATATATTGTAGAGTGTTGTGTTGGCATGTAGAATAAATAATAGAGCAGCAGATCACGTGGATGTCAAATGACTTTTAGAAGCCAAATACTCAAAGTTTGTTTGGCATGTGTTTTCAAGTTTTCGTCTACATGCATATTTTTATAAGCTATTTATATAATTTCTTGAAAAATATATATATTTTTTAAAAAATATTATATTAAATAATTTTTTTAAACAAAATATTATATAAAATACTTATTTTTATTTTCTTGAAAATTTTCAAAACCATATCTTCTTTCAGAGTTTGGTTTTGAAAATTTTGTTTTAAATTTTGATACGTATAGTAATTTAAATTTAATACTACCCCGTTCGGCTCTAAGGATCTCATTTACTTTTTGCATATTGATATTTGAATATTAATTATTATATTAAAATATAGTACAAATTAAGAAAAAATTGCAAAAATACTTCCATCAGCGTCTTATAATAATAATAAAAAGATATTTGTACAAAAAAATTATACAAATATAATAATATTTTTAATGTTAAGTACAATAACGCAAAAAGTAAATGTGGCTCTTAGAGGCAGAAGAAAATGTATTTTATAAGAGAAAAATATTTATTTTTATAAAAAAATTAGTGAAAAAAAAAACTAAAATCCAAAAGAATATAATCAAAACCCTATAGTCAAACATTTAAAAAAAAAAAAAAGAAAACTTGAGTTATTTTTATTGTTATTATATATATGCATGCATAAAATTCATAATAATTTCAAAGTATGTAGATAATAATGTAATGTATGCAAATACAATGCACATATATATCTTCACTTCACTTTTGCAATTCATTCTTACATTATTAATAATTTGCATCTTAACAACTCAACGTGGGTCACACTACTCCTAATAATTGAAATCTTTTATTGTTTCTTGGATTTAATATAATTGTCTTCACATCATTAATTTATCTATACAAGAAGAGAACCTAATTAATCTAACATAAAAAATATATATTTATATTAATAAGTTACCACATTGAAATAATTAGTAAATATCATGTATTAAATAATGTGCTATATATTATATTAATATTTGTTATTATTATTTTTTTTTTTTTATAAATATTTGCCGATAGAATCAAATTACTATTACAATGAAACCAGAATAAAATTTTGCTAAAATTAGAATATATTAGGCTGTATATAAAGTAAATAAGATCTCCGTAAATATTTATTATTTTCTGCTGTATTTATTTTTCTAACCTAGTCATTGAAAAATCACTCTTAGTGAAATGAGTTAAATCCTTTTTTTTTTTTTTTTTTTTTAAATTTAAAAATAATTACTTAAATATAATCTTTCATATAAAATTGCTAGTTGCAATTATTAGATAATCAATTAATTATTTAATAGATTGAAATTTTTAAAATTAAATTCAGAATTTACAGACCAAGACCAATTATAGATTGATATTTTCTTATTTAAAAGTATAATTATAAACTTTAATCTTAATTTCATAATTATTTTTATTAAATTATAATTATTTTTATTAATACACTTCTTTGAGACGGAAGAAGGAGGTATTTGACTATTTTCGTGTGTACAAACTAAATTGGGAAGTCGAAAGTTAAATTCCTATGTATGATCTAAGTTGCATAATTATTCGGATAAATTTTATCCGAATATTCGAAGTATTAATTTTGGTAATAATTTTGTTATACTTCATAATTGATATTATTACATTAAAGGGCTACACTGTGACCTTAAAAGATAAATTAAAATCCGAATGCATCAGATAAAAAATATTTATTTTTGACCGACTCATCGACAATGTCATGATAAATGATTATTTAGTCGCTGAACCGAGTCTTGATAAATCATGAACTCCAATTTCTACAGAGCACAAGTTACAGTTATTACAGGATAAGCAAATGTCTTGTAATATGCAAATAATTGAAAGGTCAATTACCTTCGTGGCCATTTGATAGTCCCTAATGTGTACTTTGTTCAAACTCATCGTCGATGAATGCACAATATGTATGGATTTCTTGTGGAACGACGACATTCAAGTGAAGATGCTGGTGCGAAAATACCATCCGGGATTCTTTGGGAACCAGATAAGAACTCATCATCATTTCTGTGTATGGATTATTTTCCACAAATGCATGGTACGATCACGTCCAACTGTCAGGAGACATTCTACTCGCAAGCAATCAATGGTCATCACATCACTCTGGTGCCAAAATATGTGTGTTTATGTAAGTTCTATCTTCAGCGCTCCACATCTCGATGGGGAGATCAAATGAACCAGAAAAAAGTTCGGAAGTCCCTTGCTGAATGTTAAGCATGAGATGGGTCCTTTATGTCTAGGAAACGCCTGCATAAAATGTGATATGCAAGAATTAGATAAAAGTATCATGTGCAAAATGCCGTAATGACGGGTGCAAGTAAAAGTAATGTTTTTTCTGAAAAAAAAAACAAAGTGATAACTTTTAAAAACTCCCAAATGGTTTGTTTTTTCAAAAATTACAATTAACCTATTCCATCAAATAATGAACCTTCGAATTCAGGAACAAACCTGAACCTGCGCCAGTGTATGAATGTCCTAGAGATGAACATGACAACCTAGGCCTCCACTGGCCAAATATCGACCATCAAAGCTAACAGAGCTAACAGCCAATGCTAGAAGATGTTTACTATGTCTGGTTACTCGACCTTGGGGATCCTTCAGACCATGACACTTTAAAACCTCCGCAGAAGGCCAAGTATACTTTTCGGTATTCCCGCTCTCAACATCCAAATGAATGATGTTACCATCCTTGGAAGCTGAAAATCCTCTTGAATCATCTTCAGATAGAGCCAAACTTGTGACAGGTTTCCGGTGCTTTACTATAAACTATAAACCTTCCCCTTTTAATGGCTTTTGAAGCCTGACATATAAATTGAAGTCAATATTCATCAAATCACTACATATACACTCCTGAGCCCATAAGGCAAGGAAACTATTGAGTATTGAACCAAATATGAAAACAAGAAATTCATATTGAACCTGTGCAAAAAGGCATCAAATATTTTCCCAAGCCTACGGAATTATTCAAACAGATTTTCTAGTGGGGGAATGTCCTAGGGTCGTGTGCTTCCAAGCCAATACCTTAAGAATGCTATGATACTGAAACTGGACTAAAATTCTTACAAGGACCAAAAGAAGAGAACCTGAAAATAAATAAATGGAGCATAAAACAGACGAACCTAGAACCAATGGCTCTGCAAGAACGCCCACTCTTCTCAAGCTGCTCTTGCTGCAACATCTCAGCAATTTGTGAATCTCTCTTCCCCTGATTCATCATCATCTTCTTTGGTTTTACTCTCATTATCCCTAATTTTATCCAAGAAAACAACAGCCAAGCTTTTTTCTCATCCGCTGTCTCATTTATCCCGCCATCTCTCTGCTTATCCTTCTCCCTGATCTCCTCATCTGTATCAAACTCTTCCCCACCATCATCACTACTCTCGATGTCTTCATCATCATCTCCACTGAACCAGCAGCATCGTTTCTGTTCAGGAGTGTCAAAAGACGGATCATGCGTGATGGAAGAAAACCTCTTTCTATTGTTTCCCTTGCCCGGTCTTTAGCCTGGTAGCAGATGTTTCGTTCTTCAGATTCTTGCCATTCATGACAGTTGATAGGGCACTTAGAATCAAAATTCAAAGAGCAATAACATGCACTGTCAAGAATGTATAGAGAAAATTGTCTTCAGTGAATTGTTGTGAATCTAACACTTCAAACTTGAAAAAGATATGTGTTGACACGTGTTTTGAAATATAAATCATGTCCGCTCATAAGATTCATGAATAATAACAACAATGCCAGAATCTGCTTTCACCAAAACAGGAATCAAATGGCAAAGCATTAAATTAAATATTACAGAGGAAATATTACAAGCAATAATATAATAAATAAATCAACCACCATGAGTAAAAGAAAATATTTAAAAACAATGACTGTATAAAGGATTTAACTTTTAGAAAAACTTTGTGTGGATGAAGCCAATATCTGCTTCAAAGTAGCATGTTTAAACAAAAGTTAGGGTATAAGATTAATCCATCCTGGAAAAACCAATTACTTTAACATGAATGATAACCTATACAAAAACACCAGGTGCCGATTCATCCTAAAACAGTTAGATGGACAGAATTAAGATCAGAAAAGTACAATACAAATACAAATATAACTATATGCATACACAGTACACACATGATACATGAAGAAATAAATTGATTGAATTGTCCCATGAAGCTTAAATAGATGACAGCCATTGTGCATTGAATGAAAATAATAGTTCGTACATGGTGAATAAAAATGAGGAATAAACACAGCCACAAACACATGAATATTTGCCTTTTGCACACTACTCGATCCATTGTTTGGTTGTATTTATTGCTCATTTCTAATGCATTATAGCAATATCACCTATATAAAGCACAATCCAAAAGAAATATATATTCCAATGGCTACTACAATTCATTGATTACAAAGAGTACATGTCAAGTTTTTGTACCCAAAATCAAAATTTGAGCAATAATACTTATACGGTGACTAAGATTTTGTGCCACGTGTAACATTTAACACTATGCACATAATGTGTAGGGGGAACCACAAAATAATGACATAAGATACACAACAACAATGACTACCAACACATTGGTCTGCTGGAAACTACCAACAACTAATAACATTAGAAAACATCACCAAATACTAAAACAAAGATTAGAACAATCGCCAAAAATATCTTCCTGGTCATTCACCTTATTTGTAGGACATCCATGCACATATGATAACAAGAACAATGCAACATACGATGAATTATTTGTGTCGTCTTTTAACTTTATGCTTCAATAAAATTCAATCACCTATGTTGTCCAAAGCAATATCCTTTCCTCAAATGGCACCACCAAAAAAAAAAAAAAAAAAAAAAAAAAAGAAGAAAAGAGCCAACACAGATGGCACCTAGAAGCCAAAATAAATTTCTTCCAAAAGCTTATGTCCAAGGCATAAGCCAAGATAGGTGACAGTGGCACTCTGTCACCTCCAAAATTTTCATTCTTCAAACTTAATCCTCCTTACTCCCAACTAACTAAAAGCCAACATCCTAATATGTGAAATATTCAAATATTAGGGGTGGATTAAAAATTATCGAACTTTTAACTTCTCTTGGAGTTTCTGTCATTTGGAAGGTTATACTATCTCCGTCCGGCTCTAAGAGTCCCATTTACTTTTTGTGTGTTGATATTTGAATATTAATTATTATATCAAAACGTAATACAAATTAAAAAAAATGCAAAAGTACTTATATTAGTGTCTTATAATACTAATAAAAAGATATTTGTACAAAAAATTATACAAATATAAGAACATTTTTAATGTTAAGTACAATGACGCAAAATGTAAATATGACCCTTAGAGGCGGACGGAGGGAGTATAATGTTATAAAACATTACTTTGATGCTTATAAATGGAAGTAGGGAACCATTACTTTGAATCATTTTCTAAACTTTTTCTTTTTCAAACATAGCATGTGAGAGTGATTCATTGCTTGTAAACTTGCCCCTAATTCCTACAATTAAGTAGGTTATTCGTGAATGATTCTCTACAGCTTGTAGATTCTCAATCAATCTAACTTACACCTTCACATTGTTTAATTCTATCAAATCAAATCGGTGGGCTTCGCTTCATCAGAGTTGTGAAATTCCTATGATTGGATTGGCAAAAAATCCTAATCAACCTTTGATTTCTTGTTAATCATTCCGGAAGATAGTTTGCTTTTTTTTTTTTTCCTTTGTCGAAGGCAGTGTGCAAGTATTTTTATCATCAGTTGTTTTCATTGGATAAGCTCCACACAAAATGACATGTACAAAAGTTTTAGATGCTTGATATTAATCCATGCCATTGTCTGTTGATCACTCAATTGTTCCTGTATAAGGTTCTAAATATTTCTAACCCTCACATTCGAGTATTAGCTTTAACAGTACAATACTGAATTTCTTCTAGCTTCTGCTCAGCTTAGTGATTACTATGCCTTAAAGAGGAATCTTAGACTTAAGTATAAATTAATGGAAGGACAAGCAAAAATTTAACAGCATTTATGCTTTTAGCAATGAAATACCTCTCAAGTATTGTCTTCTTAATAACAACAATTACAATTAAGCTCTGTGATATACAGATAGCACCCCAAAAAGGAAGTTTATGGGCATACACCACCTTCAATCACATTTATAAAATGACTACACCGTACCATATTTACAAAAATAAATAACTGGTATTTAAGCACTTACAAAACAATTACAATCAAGACTAGTGCACAAGCTAGGAAATATGAAATAAAGCACATGAAGTGTGAATCTTACCAAAAATACCAGCATCACTCATCCATAGAAGTTAGAACTATCTCCTCGGATGTAATAGCATCCTTTTCACCAACGTTTTCATTTTGACAGAAATATTTTCAGCCAACACCAGAAACCCCCTCTCTTTTGATCATAAATTCGATGGAAGAGTCCGGTAAATGAGGTGCAAAGACAACCCTGATGAATCTCTTGATCTTTACATTCTCAAAATTCTGGCCTTCCTCCTCTGCTCTCACCGCCTCTCTCCACATAAACAACCTCGTGTTCACACAATTTGCCCATGACAACCCCAGTGCTGCACAAACCATCCTTCCGGAAGAGAATAAAGAATCTGGATTACCGATTTTCAGAGTATCAGAAGAATCCATCACATCCACTACTTGGTTTGTCAGCACAACAGCCAATCCAAACTTACGTGCATAAAATCTTAATTTGGACGAAATCTTGAAAAACATGCTAGACCTCCGCTTCAATTCAACTGGCGTATTCTCAAACTCCCCTCTGAACAAGGCTGCGATTGAATCAATGACTATAAGCTTGATATTCAACTTAGGTACCATATTATCTAAGCGAGGCAAAATGTCGAGCAGGTGATCTGCAGAATGAAGCGGTTGGACGAAGATTGAATCCAAAGGATTGGTTGGAAGATTGGGTGCATAAAAACCGGAGAGCTGGTGAAGGCGACGGAATGGGAATGGAAACTCAGAGTGTAGGTAAAGGGACGCAGCGGAGAGGCCGCCGCCGAAGGCCGGTAGCTGCACGGCGAGAAGGAGCTGCAAGGAGAGCTGAGTTTTTCCAGTGCCGCTCTCCGCTACGATTTCAGTTATGGATTCACAGGGGATACCGCCGCCGAGGAGGCGATCAAGTGCGGGGCAACCGACGGTGAGTTTCGGGGTTTGGGCGGAAAGGCGATGGAGAAGATCTTCGGGTTTCATGGTAACGGAGAATCAGGAAAACACATTAAAGCATCATGTCGGTCTTATGGATTCAATTTCGGCCTCCTTAATTTCGTCGTCGCTGCATTGCGCGGGAAGGTTGTCCTTCGTCGTCGTCGCCAGAGAAGAAAAATTGTCAACGGTGACAAACCCTAATTTAACCTAATCTGATTTTTTTTTTTGTGTGTTGTTTTAACGAGCAATTTACATAAACTAATAGGGGCTAAACTGCAATTTTAAATAATATGTGAAGGCGGGATTGGAAAGGGTCAAATGCTCCTGTCAAGTGTCCTGTGCTTCTTTGCATTGCCAACTGAAAAACAGTTCGTCCATTTGTTTATCGACGCGAAAATTTGAAGAAACATTGGGAGTGCTCTGGATTTGGAGCTTCAATGGGGATAAAGGTATTTTTACTTTTCTGTACCCGCTTTCTATCTTCTTGCAGTTAACTGAAAATGCAGACATTTCGCCCAATTCTAGGGTTTAACGAAATTATTAGCGGAAAAAGCACCCAAGGCGATGAAAGAGCAGAAATTAGAGAGCTACGCGGGCCGGGAAATAGCCATTGATGCAAGCATGAGCATCTATCAATTCCTCGTCAGTACGCCTAGTTCTTGTTTCTATGGATATGCTGAATATTTGCTTGAGTTTGTTGAAACTGAATGCTTTTTTAACTTATAAAAGATAGAATGGGCGTGAATGGATTTTCTTTGGTTTCTAAGGAAATTTATGACTAGAATTCGTTGGCTGATGAGTGTGTAGTGAATTGTGCAAGATGGAATGTACGTGGCGACGTTTTGATATGAGGAGGTTACATGATGTTTGGTTGACTGTTCATTTCAGATTGTTGTTGGAAGACGAGGTACCGAAGTACTGACGAATGAAGCTGGTGAAGTGACTAGGTATCTGATCTTTGTCTTCTTTTCCATATGTTTAGAATTAATGAAACTTGCAAACAACTTTACTGGAAGAAGTGTATATGGTCGCAGTATAGACTGATGTGTGTCTTTTATCTGTTTCTTTTATCAGTCATTTGCAAGGGATGCTAACCAGGACAGTCAGATTTCTGGAAGCTGGAATAAAGCCAATGTAAGTTGTTTCTCTGCCTTGTTGTATCTACTTTTGATTCATTTATTATATTCAATGCTGATAGAACTCTAGGTATGTTTCCTGAAAATGTTTGATTCTGTGGTTTTAGCTATGTTTTTGATGGGAAACCGCCTGATCTTAAGGACCGGGAGATTACAAATAGGTAGTTAGTGCTTTCTCTGTTTTCATCATCTTCAATAATTTTTAGTGTTGCTAACCAAGACTTAATTATCTGAATGCAGATTCTCAAGAAGAGCAGATGCACTTAAAAACCTAGATGATGCTCTGAAGGTTGAATTCGTGATAGATTGTCTTTTTATCTCTCACTCTCTGACTTCTCTTGTTGTTCTCCTTATGGTCACTTTGGATTTGAAGAATTTCTGAGTATACCATTTATTATTATCTTTCCTGGTCAGTGCAGACTGGAAACAAGGAAGATATTGAAAAATTCAGTAAAAGGACAGTAATGGTGAGACTCTGTAGCATTCTAAATAATATAGTTGCATATAATCGGCTAGTTACGTACATAACGTTCGTCCTTCCTTTGAAGCACTTTTGTTATGACAGGCCTTGAAAAATGGAACACTCTAATGGATACCTCTGAAAACAGAAATGCTTAGATATAGGTGTAATGCATGTACTGTGGGTTCTTTTTTTTTTTTTTGGTATAGGAAAACAGCCATCTCTTTAACACCATTATCCGAAAATAAATAATGCATTTTTAACATCATTAGAGTCAACAATGATGCGATGTGACACAGAAAGCAATACAGAGTAGTACTTATGCGGCAATCAGTTTAGCCCATTTAGCTTCTGTGGTTTTCCTTCTATTTATAAGCCGTGGAGCTATCTATTTAGAAGAACTTGGGGCATTCACGTTTTCAGTTGCACAGATGACAGAGCAACACAGTGAAGACTGCAAAAGGCTTCTTAGACTTATGGGAGTACCTGTGGTTGAGGTAAGGCCTATAAATATATTTCTTTAGATTTATTCTTACGTCTAGTTGATATTATTTTTTTTGAAATATCTTCAGTGCCTTATTTTTATTATTTGTTTCAAAGCATAAATAATCAACTCCATTTTCATAGTATTCTTCTTGTTATCATGCATAGGCTCCCGGTGAAGCAGAAGCACAGTGTGCTGCACTTTGCAAAGCAAACAAAGTAAGTGTATAGCTTTATGTTATTATTTAATAAAATCATATAACCTAATGGTGTCTAAGAGTGTTGGGTTATTTTTTGAAGTTTTACTTGTATTTCTCATATGATAGAACATGTGGACTTCCATTTGATCAAGAGAAACTAATTCTTCTTCTATATTTGGGACATTTGACTTCCTGATTTGGAGTTGTACTTGAGAAATTACCTAAAGCTACGAGCTTCTTCGTTTCTTGCTTCATGCATTTGGGCAATCTGAATTTCTTGAAGGATATTTGCACAATCAGGCTTATGCAGTCTCCTCAGAGGACATGGATTCCCTAGCTTTTGGAGCTCTACGATTTCTCCGAAACCTGAGCAGCCCTATTAACAAACAGATTCCCGTATGGGATTATGAAATCTCAAAGGTACCAAGAACATATTCATCAATTCCAACTGCACTTTTCTTATCCAGCGCTACATGACAGGTTCTGGAGGAATTGAACCTCACCATGGATCAATTTATAGATCTTTGCATTCTTGCTGGTTGTGATTACTGTGAGAGCATAAGAGGTAATATGCTATGATGATTTTTCTGTATTGGGGAGGGGGACTAAATTATCTACCTATAAACCTCTATACAAAGCAAAAATTCATTGGTGTGGATTTTGAAGCAAGTTATATGCAAGCTTCGACAAAACCTAAGATATATGAAAAGTAGTTCAGTTTCTGTTAAAGATTTAGATCTGAAAGCTACGTTGTTTGTGTACCTGAACTCTTCATTCTTTCACTTCTTGCTTTGTACAATCTTTGATTGAGTCCCTTATACATTGTACAACATTTTTATTGTTTGGAAAGTTTAATTTGAACTCCTATTCTATACCACAGGTATTGGAGGACACACTGCTTTGAAACTTCTTCATCGGCATGGATCTATCGACACTATTCTGGAGAACATAGATACAGAAAGGTGCATTTGTGTTCTACTTTTATTTCATATTCATGTCTATTAATTCATGTACATGATATGTAGGGATTGATAATATTAGGACAAAGTTTACTGGGGCAAAGGCCAGTTAATATTTCAGAATAGCTTTCGGATTTACTATAAATAAGTGAGAGGGTTATGTATGTTTATAGTATTGTTTGGAATTTGAATTCTGGTTTTGATTGTTAGGCTTTGGGTAGGTAGAGTATTCTTGTAGGACATGACGAAATTCATATATACCTTTCGAATAATAACTTCTCATTTCGTAACAATCGCCCCAACTTGCTGGATCCATGCCTGAGGATAATTGGAAGTTTGTGGTCATATGAAAATGAATGATGCAATCAATTTCACTCATGGTAATTCATATTGTTATAAAAAAAAATAAAAATTAAGTTTAATTCTTTCAAACTAAAACTGCAAGTTGGCCACTATATCTCATCCTTTCGGTTGTAGTTCCTAATCTTAACCACCTTAACAAATTTGGTTTGGTTATGGGTTGAACTTAAACACAGAAAGACTAGCAGTTTAAACCTCCTGTCAGAACGGCTTGGACAAATTTGTATAAATGTACTATGCCCTTCTATCAATTACCTTATTTATAGCTATTTCTAGGGATATTCTGAAACCTTAATGGGCTCAGTCCTATATAATCATGCCCTAACAATTTGATCCTCTTCAAACCAGACTTTCCTAAGGATTTTGTGCACAAAACACACACACATACACAAAATGTATATATTTTCTTTTGCTAGCAGGATAACGAATTATGTAAGACATTTACATGCTCTTTTTATGCACTTAAAACACAGATACCATAACCATAATTTACTCTTGTTGTAGTACTATTTAGAAATTTAAGTTAAGAATAGATTATTTGGCTTGGGAAATGACTAGTATCCCTGCAGGACAGAAAAGAATCTCATATTTCTTTCAGATAATAATTATCTGTTTTGTAATAGGATCACACTTATTTTCATTTCTCTGAGATATCTGTGTTTGAGTTTTTAGGTGTTTTAGTTCAGTTGAGAATAGTAAAAATTCAAATGGAAAATATTGAACATGATATTTGCAATGAAACATAGGTGCTAGCTGTGATGTATTTTTGGCCTTTTTTTTTCTTGTTTTTCGGGTAGAAGGAACAATGTGAAAACAGGTTTTGAAACACAAAGAAGCACACATAACTTCCCTTGACAAGTTTTAAATTTGGCCTGTCCAACTTGATGGATGGGATAATGGCTCTTAATATCTTATGCTGTCAAAATTGTGTATGTAAATAAAATGCTCCTATTTTGTTCTAAATTCAATTCAGTATCTAATGAGATAAGCCATAATTCTGTTAATTCTGTATATCTAAGTAAGTGGTAGCTAAACCATGTTAAGCTGCAGAATTTTTTATGCACTATATATAAATGCTTTGAGATTCTATGAGCAAGTAGGGTTCATAATAAAATGTTTAACTATGTGGTTGAGATATTGTATCAATGGAGATGCCTTTCTTTCTAAGCGACACATGCTTTCTGTATCAGTTTCTGTGATGATTATTTCTGCCCAATTACATATTTGTACTTGAATGTTTCATAATGTCCTGTTGATGTAGATATCAAGTACCTGACGATTGGCCGTATGAAGAGGCTCGAAGACTCTTTAAACAACCGCTGGTTTTAGCTGACGATCATAAACTTAACCTAAATTGGACAGCTCCAGATGAAGAAGTGATTACTTTTTGGCAAATCTTTAGTTTAGTTTGCTTTTGTCATTTTCCTTAGCCATAATTTGGTGGAGAAATGGCTTGCGCACACGCACATATATATAATTTAACTTTCCTTTTGTAGGGATTGATAAGCTTTTTGGTAAAAGAAAATTCATTCAGAGTTGATAGAATAACTAAGGCAAGGCTCTGCTGTTTTATATGTTGTGGGAAATTTCTCTTCCCAACTTGCCATCTAAATATATTATCCTTCATATAATTGTGCTTATTGGGTATGTTGTTCAGGCAATTGAGAAGATTGAGGCAGCAAAGAACAAGTTCTTGTCCCATGGCAGGTCCGATTCAGTTGATTGCAAATTAAACTATATTGTATGGTTAAATTCAATAACACTTCCTCAAGCTAATTTATGAACAGGTTGGAGCCATTCCCCAATCCAGTTGTTAGCATACATTCTAAAGGAAAGGTACTTGGTTTTCCCTTGCTATTGAGTTCGTCTAGGTAGATTTGCTGGATTAAACATTACTGCAATCGTAATTTTACTACGAATTGCTGGATCATGAAGTTTGTAAGTTGAATTTACATGTTAGTCTTTGTTGCAGTTTGCCTCATATTTTCATTGAATTTTGCTACATATAGGTCTAGGCTTCACCCTGCTGTTATGATAACTTTGGAAACTGTTCAATAGAAATTAATGGGTTGGCCCTCGCAACATATTTTCATCAAAACTGCTCAACTTACTTCTCAAGTAAAGCTCAGACTTAGCTCCTTAAGGTTTGGATTTGAGTTTGGGGTTTGAGAATCGTAGAATTTTGAATGGAATAGTATTTGAGGTAATATAAATAGATTTTTGATGTAATGTTTTGAATGGAGAAATGAGTTTTGGTAATATATTAAATGAAAACTAAGTATTTGATTTGATTTTTTGGAAAAAAGTTTTTTACAATACTGTGAGACGAAATCCAAATGTTAGAAAAACAGCCTAAAGGTTGATGCGTAATTGCTTATCAAGAATCAAGCTACACAATGAGGGTCATAAATTAAAATATTTATAACATGTATGCATGTATAAAAAAGCTATAAGTTCTGTATAAATAAGAGTTTTGGGAGTCATAGAAATTAGAATAATAAGAAGTTATATTTATGTGATGTAAATAGATGTTGGATTGCCAAAGCTAAGACTCTCCTTTCTTTGAGTTTGATGTTTTATATAGAAAAAAAATAAGTTTTTAACATAATATTTTAAGTGAAAAATAGGTATTTGATGTAATTGTTTTTTAAAAATATTTATGATGGATAACGCAGAAACTTTTTTAAGAATATGTATGTAAACAAAGCTTTTAGTTTTCCGGTTTAGGGGGACAACCCGGAAAATAGATATCTGCAGGAGTTGGCTTATCAACCCCCTAAGCTTAGAAGTTCTCATTCTCTTTTACGATATTCCCCTGTAGTTTTATTTTTGTTTTAAAGTTCGTAGAAGTGAAGATGGCCCTCTAGTTCGCTGTGCAGCATTTATCCTTTGCCTTGTTTTCTTTTCATCGATGCACCATATCTTCATTATCTCCTCAAAGCCGTGAACTCTTTTTAAGATAAATTTGTTTGCTAGATATCAAACCGTTGTGGATTCGTATACATCTTCATGGGAATTGTTCATGAATGCCTTTTGTTAATGACCAACAGGGAAGTCGATTTGTTCTTGCAGTTAGAAATCCGATAAGCATGGTTGATAAGCAACAGTCCATCAAAATAAGGTTGCATTCTCGGCCTAAGGCTACCGGCAGCATTTTTGTAGCCCCATTTTGCAGAAGCTTATGTTGTGGCATTGGTGCATGAACATGAAGCGTGCTTCATCAGTGAGAATGGTACGTCTGTATTTTCAGAAGTAACTATGGTTTATTAGGGGATTAAATGCAGGTCAATATTATGCAGACATTTTCAAACGAATGGTTATTAATTAGGGATAAATTTCTTATATTGTGTTATAGTTATTTTGATTTATTTTTACGACATAAGGTAAATAAAATATTTATTTTGAATAAATGAAATTATATGGCTTATATAACATCTTTTAAAATGATGGGGTATTTTATAGTTTGATTTATGAATTAGTATCTCACTCTAAATGCGTACAATTTACTTTTACTATAATATTTTATGTTAACATCATACAAATAAATATAAATATATTAAATCATGCATAAAGAATATACTCCCTCCGTCCCATAAGTTTTAGAAATATTAGTATTATCTTGAGATTTAGTAGAATTAAAAGCGAAAAGACTAAACTAAATATAAAGGAAATCAGATTTGTATAATATATTGTAAATTGAAGGGATATTTGTAATATTGGATAGATAGTACAATTATTAAAAAAAGAAATTGATACTTTGTTATAAGACGATCGAAAATGGAAAACTGAATAGATTGTTAAGAGACGGCGGGAATATTAAATAATGGTATAATATTTTTGAACCAAAATTATTGGAAGGCAACAAAAATAAGATGAATTTATCCCAAAATTATTAAATTTCTTGAACCAAAATTCTCTTGATAGGTTAAGATCATTCCAACTCTAAAGAAATGCGAGAAGAATAAGAAATATGTTTATTTTACTAACCAAAATCTCTTCTCATCAACCTATTTGATTAAACTTAACTTTCTCCTCAGAGAATTTTCATTTGTAAGTTCTGTTAATCAAATCATATACAATTTCAAACTCGAATCAATGTTCGAATTAAGCCCTTTATTATAGGCAATCGCAAAGCAGAGTTGTCAATTCACAATGTTAATCCTCACCTATCGAAGTCAAGCTGTTTCTTCATTTTCTTGCTACTTTGATTTATCTTTGTCGCTATTTACTTCTTGAGCTTTCGTCCATAATACTACATACAATCCTCCTCCAATTACTGACACATCCCAAAAGGCTTAATTATCAAGAAACAATATTTGACCTCTTTGGCCATAGAATTTTTTTTTTTTTACTTTCCCTTCAACAGTGTCCAACCCAACCGTAGCTTCTTTAATCTAAATATATTTGTACAAAACACTTAAAAGACTTCAACCATGAATGAAACTCATTCGATATATACTGTCTCGGCCACATCACTTTCAACGCACAAGAAAAATATTGTATCTTGAAATACAGGTAAGTTGGAGAGTAAGTTGGAGATTAAAAAGGTTATGTTAGATATAGAGGCTGCAATTAATGTGATGCCTAAATCTATTTACAATTCTTCAAATATGGAGCCTTTGAAAGTGAAGACCGGAAGTTTATTGATGTGGAAAAGATATAAAACAAGAAAAATGTTTATTGATTGCATCGGATACTGATAGAAAAAAAATAAAAAAAAAGTAATGCCATTGTTGTATTGCAATACAATCCTTGGAATAATATATTTATACTATTTTGACCAGTGAGTTTTCAGGTCAGACGTTTTTTAAAATTAAATTATAATCCTAAGAATCGTGGATTTGAGTTTAATTAAAATGATAGCTTAAATTGAAACTTGTCCTAACTAGTACCCTATCGAAGAGAAAGAATAATATAGTAGTAAAGTGAATTTAGCTGATGTGAATACTGCATGATTTAATAATGTAAAGAAGCAATGCATGAGGCGAACCAAGTAGTAACAATTTATAGTTATAAGCGAGTATGTAGATTCCTAAACAATAGCTATAAGTTATAGCATTTTTGAGGTGATTAAGTTTGATGCAATATGATGGGGTAAAATGTGGTTAATGAGATGTTTTGTGGTCCAATTATAGGTAGAAGTGTCAACAATTTTGCGCCGAATGGATTCCTGAGTTAAGCGAGTTTATATCTATAACTATGAGTTGAACAAAGAATTGAATGTGATCACACAAGTCATTTAAGCAAGCCTCGCTAGGCCTATTAGTACTTGGCCTAAAATGCATTTTGGATCATCGGAATTGTAACTAAGTCATTACTAGCTAAAGAAACCTCTATCACTAGTCATCGTTATGATTTAGGGTACTTAATTCCTATAATCTAATTAATTGTACTTAGCCACTTCTCTCATTGCCTTTTCCTCTATCTATAATTTAGATGAGGTTATCATCACTATTATTATTTGCCGCTAAGATCCATCTTGTTGAAATATGCTGATGTCTATTTATGAAGTTCGTTTATATTCAACTACGTCATATTTCTTTTTGTCAATCTCGACTTAACTTCTACATTACCAACTTGAGTTTGAGAGGGTGTTGAAATATATTTTATATAGATATTTTAGTTGATATTATTTAAATTTGTCATTTATCATATAATCATATCTAATAGATTAGATTATTATTATCTATATATGTTAGTAGATTTGGTTGTTATTATTTAATTTGATCATCTTGTATTAGGTCTACAAATAGACCTCAATTTCATTATCAAAACATCTCAGAAATTTTCCTTAGAATTTTTATACATCTAAACTTTGAACTTTAATACGTAAAAAGACATGGGTTGAAAATTTATATGAGCTCTTCTACAACATAGCTATCAATCATACTTAAACAACTTAAGTATGTACCTAAACTTTGGGTGTTGGAGAGATGAAGAATAAATGATAATTTTACTTATAAGTAAAACTCAAAATAATTACATTAATCTACCTAGAAAACAAAATCCATCATAAAAGTATTCCGACGGAGAAGATAGGAAGTTTTGAGTGGCATCTCTACCACAAACAACCTTAAACTGTTAGCATCATCCTTAGAGTGATCTCATTATAGTTTAAGCTCTAGAGACAATCTACATTTGTTATTTATTCATTTTGATCGGATATAATCTAAATTTGTTCATTGAGTGATGCATGTGTTATGGTGCTGAATTGATACAAATAATTGGAATAACACCTTTATCTATATAATTAATGATTAGGGCATTCACTGAATTGATTGTTAGTTAGTTGCAACTTCTATAACTTCCAAACTATATTTTGGATACTCTAAGCCATCTTTTCATTTCATCCATCAATTCTTGATTAACGGAACTGATATTTCTCCCGATCGTTTGGTGTGGAATTAGGCTAGCCATGAATGGATATAAGTTATTGAGGGGAAAGAATTCCTATCATCATAAATCAGTGATGATGGCTTAATCATCTGGATGTTTTTTTTTTTTTTTTTTTTTTTTTTTTTTATGACTGGATGTTTTCTTGATTGGCCTAGAGGTTCACTTTGGCTGTCGGGATGTTTTCTTGATGAGTCTTTGAAGTTTGCTGGCCGGAGACTATCTCTTTCTTACAAGCCAACTCGCTTAAACGTGGAAAATAAAAACAATAACACAAAAAGATAAGACAAATATACATAAAAATACAAAATCCATTACCATCATACCGTTCAAATTAAAATAATTTATTAAACTTAGATTATCAAGCTTAATAAGGCCATCTCCGAAATCCATATCCTATTCAATAACCTCAAACTTATTATATCTAACAACCTCTCTAACAAAGGATGTCGTGGGTTCAAACACAGAAGCTTCAGGTTTTGTATATTATACATATTTTGCCTAGTGTGATTTATTTTGTCAGGTCTAATTTACATGCTATTAAATTCGACCGGGATTTATCCAGATCGCCTGTAGTGGCTGCAGGTTCCATGTTATAAAAAAAATGTAACTGCTTGGTTATAATCAAGTTGGCATGATACTTATTTTTTAAAAAGTAATAAATGTAAAAAGATAGTTGAAAGTATTTCTAAAAATTTATTTAGAAAATAAAAAAAATAAAGAGAAAGAATGTAATAAGACAGTGATATTTGTTATAAATAAATATTAAATTAAAAATAATTGTTAAATGTTAATTTATCACTTTACAAAAATTAGTAATTGAGTAAATTTAGCGGACGAACTAAAAAATAAAAATAAGAATAAATTTGACGAAAATACTTTCAAATTTTGTTTGTTTGAGTTTATATATATATATATATTTTTTTTATATTTCTCAATTAAATTTTCTATTTTGGTGTCGAGATTTGAACCCATGATTTCATGGTCACCGGTTTACTCCCCTCGCCACCGGGCCCTCCTTTACCGGACATGTGGTTGTTTTCTTGATTAGCCTAAAGGTCCACTTTCTTGTCTGGATGTTTGCTCGACTTTTTAAAGTTTGCTGGCGGAAACTGTTTCTTGCCTACAACTACAAGTCTGTTATATTAAAATTCATATGAATTGAAAATAAAGACAGCAACATATAAAGATATGACAAATGAAAAAATAAAAAATGTATATATATAATATAAAATTCCTTAATCATGATACTATTTTTTCTTAACCAGCTATATCATTGTTTACTAATAGCTACTTGTTCTAATAAAACCAATTTATTAAACTTAGATTAGCAAGCTTAACAACACCATCTTTTAAATTCATATTCTATTCAACTTCGAAATCCAATTCTAAGCCCTTTTATTATAGTCGATGATCAGAAAATTGTTCGTGTTAAATCCACAACCACACAAAATCAGCTGGGAAGCTGGGATGTATCTTCATTTTGTTGCCATGTCGATTTGTCTTCATGTTTTTTCGCTTCTTGAGCTTTTGCCCATAGTAATACATATAATCCACCTCCAATTATGATGCATCCCAAAAGCCTGAATTATCAAGAAATAGTTGAATTATTAACTTCATAACAATAATATTTGGTATTTATGATATACATCGTAAGTAAAATACTCTCTCCGTTCGGGAAAATTAGCCCATTTGGGCTCGACAAGTAGATTAAAAAAATAAATATTTTATTGAAAAATTAGAAAAAATAAAGAGATAATTTGGGTATTTTTGAAAATTTAGTTAGTAATTAAAGAGAATGAAATAGATGTAATGTAATAAAGTTAGTGTTATTTATTTTAAATAAATGTTGAATGAAAGATAATAATTAAATAGTAATTTTTGACTTTTTTAAATATAGTAGTAGTAGGGTAAATTTAATGCACAGACGCTTAAAGAAAAATAAGAATAAATTTCGTAGACCTTTTTCCAATATAATCATATAAAAAAACATGCAACTTAGTTTGAACACAACAAGAAAATATCAATTTTGTAACAATATTTTTTCATCCCTAAAGTCACTTTTTTTCGTTACTAATGACATTAGAGACGGAATTAGAGAGGGAATTGCGTTAACTGCGTGAACTTTAGAGACGAAATTCCGTTACTAATATATTATTTTTTTGTAGTGAATTACTCCAACAATATGGAGAACTTAGAAATAATTCGATTATTTGAAAATGAGATAATACTTACGTCCCAAGATGTGGTTTCTGTTGCAGAAACAAGTGTTCTGCAACAACCGTAAACACGAGGCATAGAGGAGTGAATGCAGATACAAAAATCGGTCCACGAGTACGAAGACACCATGCTATCAATGGAAATGACAACCCAGAGGTCAAAATGCCCTATGTTCAAGATAACATCTTTGTATTAAATTTTGTTATATGTTAAAAAGATAGAAAAATAGATAAAGACTATAAGAATTGTAGAGAAAATTGCAAAAAATATGTCACACGTATACTCTTATCCTGTATTCATCTTGCTGGAAAAATATATACTACATGTTTGCAAAAGTCCTCATTATTCCACGCACGGCAAAAGGATAGAAATGGCGACTTTTGCAAACATGTAGGATATATTTTGCCAGCGAGATAAATAAAAGACAAAAATGATAATAAGGCATACGTGTGAGATTTATTTGCAATTTTCACAAGAATCTTACCATAGAAAATACTGTGAACAATCTGATATTCCATCCCAATTTCCATTCGTTCCAATTCCTTTCCATGCTTAATGCAAGGACAACTCCTTGAATCGCTGCCCAAGTTGTCATAATCGCCGAGAGAGATAATGGAAACGGATACTCCTCCGCGGCTTTAGACTGGTCATCCAACACTTAAATTTAATTTACAATCGACAATATAAATGTAAATTTAAATAAAAGGAAAGCATATGTATGAACTCAAGTATTTCACCTGAATAATCAAGAAAAATGAAAAGCAGACGGTATTTAGAAAGGCGAGGAGCGTGCCATAAATTAAATTATGGCCGCTATGGTTATGATTAGCTTGAGGATGTGTCGATGTCGTCTCTAGAAGATTAATGTTAGTTTTTCCGATATTCAATGCAGGCCCTTCGTATACTGCAAGCAATATGGCTCCACTTATGCTCACTGCAGCAGCAAAAATCTTTATTTTTCCTTCGATGGTGTCCAACCGCAGCCTCTCTAATCTAAACATGTTTGTACGAAACACTTAATAGTTCAAGCTTGAAGAACATCTTATATCGATTTCAGGCACATCATTGGCTATATATGCATAATAAGTAGAGTTCGATGAGACGAGAAAATCTTCAAATCGAACAATTTATTTGTAGCCCACGAATTATTCGAAAAGTATGTGACTAGAAGTAATTATGTTCATCGGGTTTACCTGAGAGAAATGGCCAAAATAAATGTAATGGCAGGACCAAGATTTGACATGGCTGAAGCTAGTGTTGCTGAGGTCAATGCAATACCTTTTAAGGATAAATATTGTCCCACTGATCCACTACATTGAATCAAGATTAATCACATTGTCATAATGATTTCATACTTAATTAAAGTTGAGTAGAACATTGATTATTAAGTGATGAACTATACTTTAATGCTGAATGAAAATTACATAATAAATAATAATTCAAAATTTGCAAGCAGATACTATGTTAAATAATGTAAATAATTATTTCACCTAATTAAAAGCTTAAGCTATTAGAATACGCATAATTTATTATTTTATCTACAAACATAAATCAACCAATAGTTCGTGAAGTTTCGAAGTATATAAATCCTCAAAAAACAATTGAATCCCCGACACCCTAAATTGGTCGAGTTTCTGCACACTTTCAACTTTGTCATCAAACACGAATCTAAAGTTCTCAATCACGTGGATGATGTTCTTAGTCAACTATGAATGTAGTTGATCTTTGTTTTTCAAAGAAATTGTGAGACTTGATAGTATTTCAAAAACCATTACTTCCTATCAAGATCCAAAACTATATGTCATTTTTGGCACACTTTGGAGGAAGTTTTTAATGAAACTTCAGTTTAGTTCTCTCACCATTTACAAACTAATGAACAAATGGAGTTCGTAAACAGCGTGGCTAATCAATTGGTGAGTGAAAAATATAATAAAATAAAAAAATAATTAAGTAATTTGGTTATCATTTACTTCGATTTTTTATTTGAATTAAATTTTGAATTAATTAACTAATGAGTTAAATTAAATTTGTATCGACGACACAAAGTACTTTGACAAAAAAAACCACACACATGTGCTGCCCAACTATCCAACAATAGTGGACTTGAAACTTACTTAAACCAATGATTTTTTTCTTATTATTTACATAAATATATAATCTCTCATTCACTAAAAATATTTTCATTTACTTCTAGCACAACCTATTTTAGTATTTTATTGAAGTGCAATACAAATTATATATACAAAAGATAATTTTGCCTTTACTTTATAGTGTAAAAGTAATAATATAATAATAAAGTAAGAGTATTTTTATATTTATGTAGAATGTAACTTTATTAAAAAAAAAAAAAATGAAGACTTGAGTTGACAGAAAGAAAAATAGAAAGATTTCGAATGGAATTAGTAAGTAATGGTAATGGTGGTAATCTATGTTGGTGATTTCCCTATCATCTCATCCAATTTTGAGTAACTGCTTTTGTATCTATATATCCCACGAACACGATAAAGGATGAGTGTTAGTTGAGAACACATAATTAATTAATTAATTTCATTGTGTTATTTGATTTACACTTACAAAATGAAAATGTACATGTCCTGTAACAGATAATCTAGCGGTGGCGAGGGTCAACTCGTCGTCATGAGGTTATGAATTCATTCAAATATTTATAAATTTTATCTGTCACGTATTATTTGCTTAGTGTGATTTGTTTTGCAGACCTAATATAAAAGCTAATTAGATTCGACTAAAACTTCCAACATCATAGAAAAAAAAAATATAGGTTTCCGCATTATAAAAATATATATATCTATAATAAAGAAATTGAAAGAGACAATCCCATTGTGTTCTTTGACACATTCCACTGTAAGAAAATATCAATTTTGTAATAACGATTTTTTTTGTTCTTAAATCTATATTTTTCATACTAATGATATTAGAGGCGGAATTAGAGATAAAATTACGTTAGCTATGTGAACTTTAGGGATATAATTCCGTTACAAATATACTATTTTTTTTTTGTAGTGTTCACACGTAGGGAGAAAAAACGGCGACAAGAATCAAAAATATTATATTCTTTATTCTGATCTTATTAGTTGCTTTTACACTTTGAGCATTATTAAAGTGGAAGATGCAAAATATAGTGCTAAAAATACAGACATCATATTTAAAAACTATTTCATTTTTAAAATATCAAAATAAAACACATCAAACAAAAAGAATCACAATAGGGTTTTCTAACATTCTGTTAATTCAAAATTCAATAAAATTATTGTGATTAAATCAATCTTCATGACTTTAACATATAAACTAATTCAAATGGTAACTTATTTATCTGTGAATGAGAAACACCTTACCCAAACAATCCACAAATGAAGCCATAAAACACAATCTTCAGCTTAAATTTCGAGCAATTTTTCCTGAAACAATAAGAACAAAAAACAACAAATTAAAATAAAGTAACAAATTATATAGATCGTAAAGTAAAAAAATAAAAAATAAAAAATGTCACCTCTCCATGAGAAGTGCGAGGAGAATACTGACTACAGAACCAAATAAAAATCGATAAGCTATGACCAAGTGAAGAGGCATGCCATCGTTGGCTGCAAGTTTGTAGCTAATATTCAGTATACTAAATATCAGCTGCACAATCACCATTGCCATTGTTGCCACTGCAGCTCCATTCCTCTCCACCATTGTTGTAACCTATTTCAATCTGTGCTGTGATCGATCGATCGATCGATCGATAGATAGATAGATTCAAATTTTCAACTTTGATCAACTACCAGCATATATATACCATTGTGATCAATGATATATATATATATATATACATGTGTGTGTGTGTTTCTTGGATTTAGTGTATGTATATATAAAAGTTCTTGGGGGTAGAGGAGGATTAACCCTTTATTTTACATATGGCAGAATTTGTCTATGTTGGGGAAATATTATATAAAAACACATGCACGAAGAAAGGTAGTGTGTGAATGCTGGGGGGGGGGGGGGGGAAGGTTGGTGGCCTAGGGGATTGCATAAAACCTATAATTATAAATTCATTCTTGATCAAGATATTTTAAAATTTTTAGTTTAGAATAAGTTGTTGATTAATTATTTATATCTACATCACACTTATAATAAGTAGTCTTTGATTTCGTTATTAATAAAATTATACGTAACTTTGAAACTCTGCTTAGACGAGTGTGTTCACACAGTGTTCTAAAATACTCCATATGTCCCATAACAAAGTATTCATTTTTTCATTTTAGTCCGTTCCATAACAAAGTATCCATTTCTTTTTTTTTAGTAACGGTACTTTCTACCTAAAATTACAAATACCCTTACAACTTACAATATATTACACAAATGTCATTACCATTATATCACACATACTAATAAGGTTATTTTAGTCATTTCTACTTTATTTCTACTATATCCCAATATAATACTAATATTTCTAAAATTACGTGCAAAAAGAAAATTGATACTTAGTTTCGGGACGGAGGGAGTATATGAATTTGCAAAATATTGATAAAAAAATATTTTATCTCTTAATTCAAAGTACTTTTTTTTTTTAACAATAGATTAAAAAATAAGGCTCCCTCAGTCTCAATACAACAATCTTGTTTATCATTTTTGTATGTCCCAAAACAATAGTCTTATTTCCATAAATAATCATATTACTGTAAAACTACCCTTACTTTTTCATTATTATTACACAATTGTCACTACTTTTTACACTAATACACTCACAAGAGCAAAAAAGTTTTTTACCCGTACTTTTTACCTACTACCGATATAATATCAATATTTCTTAAATTTCGTGCCAAACACAACCCAGAATATAGTTCTGAAACGAAGGGAGTAGTATTTATTACTTAATGGAAGTGTGTAGGATAGTTTTAATATTTTTATCCTTATAAATACAAAGTAAATGATTACTTTTACTGTAATAGAAGATGAATGTTTTTTTGAATAAAACTGACAAAAATAATAAAAATACTATATTAAATTGAAACGGATATAGTACAATATATATTATAGAATATATGTAGAAAAGCATATAAAAATATTTTTAATTTTTATTTAAATTTATTCTTATTATTTTTTTTTATAAGTAAAAAATAACAATTTAAAGAAAAAATTTTATTTATTTTTTATTTATTTTTTTAAAAACCCATATCCGGTCAAATGCACATAATTTTACATTGCAAATGATCTAATATATATATATATATATATATGGGCTGGCCTGGTGTTCTTTATTATATATTTAATTAGATTTGGTATGATTTAGTAGTATTATATTTGTTTGAATTTGGTGTTTAAGTCAGTGGAGATATTATAATTTAAGTTGATTATAGGTCCAATTACACTTTTTAATAACATGTGGTGGTGCTCCTTATTATATATTTATTTAGATATTTTATAATTTAATTACTACTATTATTATATTTGTTTGAATTTGCTGTTAAGTCAGTGAAGGTATTATAATTTAAGTTGATTATAAATCCAATTATAAATAATAATATAATTGTTATATTTATTTAGAATATAATATAATTTACCATTGTCATTTAAGTATGATTTTGGTGTTTTAAGTCATTAGAATTGAAAGTTTATGGGTGTGTTTGCCTGTTTGGAATTTGAGGTTTTATAATAATTAGTGATGATGTAATAAAATTTAAAAAAAAATTAAAATTTTTTATTAATATAATACATTATATTAAAAATGAATTTGTTTATTAATATAAATAAAAATATTTCCTCCGTCCCATAACAAACTATTTTTTTTTTTTAGTAACATTATAAATACCCTTACAACTTACAATATATTACACAAATATTACTACATTTATATCACACAATACTAATAAAGTTATTTTAGTCAATTTTGCTTTAAATTTATTGTATCTCAATATAATATTAATATTTTTAAAATTTCGTGCAAAAAGCAAATAGATACATAGTTATGTGAAGGAAGAGAGTAGTAAATTATAATATATGCAAACACATGCATATATAAATTGGTCGTGTCAATATATAAATGCATTACTATTGAGTTGATATGAATTGCACTAAAAAAAATAGTATATTTGTAACGGAATTCCGTCACTGAAGATCACGTAGCTAACGTAATTCCATCATTAATTCCGTCTCTAATATCATTAGTAACGGAAAAAGTGAATTTAAAGACGGAAAAATCTCGTTACAAAAATGATTTTCTTGTAGTGTTCGGGTATTTGTAAATATGCAGATATTATTTTGATATTCGAATCGAACCGAACAAATATCCGAAATCGCGAACTGTATCCGAACCGAAAATTTCGGTTAACCGAATTTTCGGAAAATAAAAAATATTTACAATATTTGCAAATAATTCAAATTGAACCGAAGTTTAAAAAGTATATATTAAAAAATAATTAAAATTCTAATTAAATCAAAATATTTGCAAATATTTCCAATATCCGAAACAAAACCGAATCAAACAGGGCCTTTTTTTACGTTCGACGTCCCTTGAACTTTTATCACGTACTATTAATTTATACATTTATACTATGTTACTATATATTTCGTCATGACCAGATTGACTTATATATGTTATGTAGATTATTATAATGAATTAGTTCATACACCACATGTTGATTAGTGGTAATTGATTTTTATTGAAATATTAGTTTTTTTATTGGTTAAATAAAAATTTATGAAAAATAATTTTAACTCATGTTACATTGACCGAGCTGGTGAATAGGAAAAATGTAATTTTAAAATCAACACCAAATACACCTTAGATTTTAAATAAATATCATTAAATTTGAAATACATCCAAATTTCAATCTATAATTTAAATATTCATTTTATTTAGATAAAGTATTAAGGTACATGTGAATAAAATTAGATATTCAATTCAGTTATTGTGTATAAGTAAATTAATCCAATTAACAAACTTGTCATTTTCATTGAATTAAAAGTTTGTTAGTTTGTTACATTATTTCTATTAGAAAATATATTATGATCATGATGTGCAAATGCTTCATCTTTGTAATGCATTATGATTATGGAAATACAGATAAGATGTCCAATCTTGTTCTTCATTTTTGTCCACTATTGTGCTTTATTTAATTTTATTTTTTGTGCATCAACTTCAAATCTCAACATATATAATTAAAAAAATAAAATTATAAAATAGATATTTATATGGATAGTAAAAGTCCTTATAAAACCCCAAACAAAAAGCTATCTCACAAGCAACTTTTCACCTAAAAAATATCCAAACAAACAATTTAAAAATAAAAAAAACCACAAAAGAGTACTGTAGACACTAAAAATATATGTCTAAAATCAATTAAATATCATGTATTTTGGAAGAAAATAAAATTCCAATAAAATAAATATATGGTATTTAATTATGCACATATGTTAATTTTTGTACAATAAATATCAACCATTAGTGCAAAATCTGCTTAAAATGGAAGATATCGTACAAATATTACGTGCATAAATAGAGCCATAATAAATTTGGCAGCAAAATAAATTAATCTTGTCAATAAAGGAAGTATATAAATTAATATCTTCCAAACAAGGCAATGATATAAAGATCTTGTCAATAAAGGAAGTATATAAATTAATATCTTCCAAAAAAGGCAATGATATAAAGATTTTGACGAGAAAGGAAGGTGCATAATCAAATCCGTCAAAAATGGAAAACGGCATCCGAGGGAAAAGGAAAGATTATAAAATCTTTCCATCCACGTGGCACCATCCGAAAAGGAAGCCAAGGCCACCCTCCCCTATAAATAGGAGCCTTGGCCAATTCATTTAGACACCGAAGTTCATTTGAAGACTCGCGCAAGGGTAAGTCTCTCTAGACTCTCTGCAATGTTCTTCATTGTTCTTCGTGTCCTTCGAAGCGTTCTTCGTCGAAAAGTCACCGATTTGGACAAATGATCCAATATTGGTTGACGAATCGATGAAGTTAACGTTCTTCGTCGTATGTCCGAGCCGGAGGAAGGATCAAATCTCTCAAAGCTATCGAGGAATCCATCAAAGCCAAGGAAGAGCCTCCAAAGTCGCTCCCAAAGCTTGAAGATGTTCGTAGCGTTCTTCATAAAAGGCGCAAACCAGGCCCTCTTCGATCCAAAAGTCAAAGGGACACGCCGCCAAAAGCGTTATGGAGCACTAAATCTCTCCCTCAAAGATCAAATTCCGTCGGATCATCCAAAGGAGGCATCAATCCGAAGCCGACGATCAAAATCGCCAACATGGATACCAAAGTCCTTCAAAAGCCGGCGAAGTCAAACCGAAGACCAAAATCCCTTCGGATCAAAGAAGCCACCCAAATCCAAATTGGAAAAATGGATCGACTCGGAGAGAGAATCAAAGGATCCAAATAGAGAATAGGACCCGCATTAAATTTAAATACAAATATAATTTGTACAAATTTTGTGTTTATAAAAATATAACACAATTTTTTTGTCTACATATTTTTGGCACGCCCAGTGGGACATCTCTACCTTTCATCTCTCTTTCCGTCGAATTCTCAAACGATCAATGGCTTCCTACAAAATCAAGACTTCCAATGTTGTGTCGAAAGCTGCTGCTCTAGCCGCCACCGCCAAAGGAGTCGCTGCTACTACATCAAGAACCTCAAGTGCTTCAATGAATGCTGGAGTGATGACACGAAGTATGGCTAAAAGAGTACTGGCATTTTCCGAGGATGCACATCCGAAAATCACAGAGCAAAACTCACTCTATGAGGAGGACGAAAGCTTCAAGAGTACCTC